GTGTCAAATACATGGTGTGCCTGTCTTAAAGCAAAGTTCCCATACAGTAGAAGTGAGGGATTTCCGCCTAGTATTAGCGTCCACCCAACAGTAGCGTTTTCCGCCTACAGATGCGCCCATGCTAAAAAACATTCTCCCGTTAACAGGGTCACTATATTTAAAAAAAAAATGGCAGATGAGACTGAATGGCAATATCAACACTAAAAACAGATGAGAAACGTATCATAAGATACCTTACCGTGGAGGACGTTTTATCATCGAGAGCAAAAACAACAGATACACTGTCGTGGCTAACCTTGGATATCTGCAAAGACAATTCAAGAATCATTATTATCTTTCCAGTGCCACTAATTCACGTTGCTATGAATTCTTGTTTTCATTTTTTTCCTGTCTTTCTTTGTTTTGCCTTGAGATCAGAGCGACGATTGACATACTGTCACAAGTATGTTTCGCGTAGCAATAGGTACTTTAAGATCCAACGACGCGGACGGAAACGAGAACGTAATAAAACCATAGGTTTTAGAAGCAAAACAATAACTTTGCACGTGCATCACGCTTATTAGTACATTTCTTTGCCGTTTTTGCCCGACTACGACGTGAAATTGCCTAATTTCGCGTTTTATGGATTATGTCAACAAGCAACGACCAAATTTTATTTCTCTTTCTGAACTTGGAAATGATCCATTGGAATTCAACTCCAGGAGGATTCGCCTACATTTGACAAAGTAATTGGGTAGGAATAATTGCGATTAAGACTGAAAGAACGCAAATTCACTTTTTAGGCGACGTTCTCGTTGCCTTCGCGTCTTTGGATCTTAAAGTCCCTCATGTATATGAGCTACGTGAAGTAATCACTGCGTTGCCTTTCTACAATATAACTGTATTGTCATTGTATTCAATTGTATTCTCATTTATTTAGCCCCCTCACTAGATGTCAATAGTACAGGGATTACAGGGATGTGCTCACCAACTGCTCCGCTGATGTTTCGAAGGAATCTTGTTTTTCCGCTGACAGATCGGAATGAAAGGTCGCCTAACGTGCGAAATAAATATACATCATCATACAAATGATTAATTTGTTAGTTTAGTTCGTCACATGTGAAGATCGACGTTTGTCCCGGAGACGATCTTCAGACGTTCTATCCGTCTCGGCTGCTTCAGACGATAAGGAAAATTTAGCCTCGTTCGGGAGAAACACCCGCTGGCCGGCTAAAATTTCTTGTAGGTCTGATTCAGTTGATTGGTTCGACGCGTCCTAAGTTCGACGTTTAAACTATCAGACGATCTTAACCTAACTGATGAAAGTCGACCAAGAGCCATCGTCTTCCAATAAACACTAGGGCGCACGCTTTAATATAACTTACCGCAACATTTCTTTTCTCAAGCAGTTCTTTTAGTTGCTCACAAAAGTCTGATAGGCCTTGTCCAATAACCAAGGCTCTATGGATTTTTTTCTCTGATTACAAGAATAACAGTCAAAGTTAATCGATGACGACAGTGTTTATTTCCTATACTTCAATCTATAAACAGGTTCTATTGTAACACTGAATACATTAAATCCATCTAATAATATACAGATTTAACAAAGCCAAAAGCGAAGCTTCAGTTTGTAGACTCAATAATAAACATCCATTCTATTCCATTCACATTTTAAGGGGTGACCATGGGAGATTTAAGAAAAAAACTGTCCGGCAAACTGACCTACAAAACATTTTCCCACGAAGCTAAACTCTTATATTTATAGCAAAAATAATAATGAATAAAGTTCGATAGCAGTAGTAGCCTTAAAGAAGAATTTTTGCCCGAACCTGCGTCACATAACTCCTCAGCACACCTGTTTTCGAACTTATCACAATCAGCCCCTGAAATAAACAAAATTAAAAGGTGCCTTTAATTCACGCACGCACATACTCTTCGGTGGAGGCCAATTTACAGGTTACCATTTTTAGGGTCGATTTTCCAGTCTAAAGAAAAGACCTAAATGAAAAGTTGGGCCGATTTTTGTGTACGTTGTGTGCTTTTATATGTTTTCTTTGCAAAATCTCTTAATATCTCGACATGCGCACACTGACGCAGGAACCAATATTGTTAATTCCAACCAGACACACTAACGAAATGGAAGCAGGTACGTGATAATCATAATTATGCGAATTAATTAATGTAAGTGTTAGTTAATGCTATAAGCTCAGTGAAAAGGTGTCAACCGGAATTTTCTCACCGCATGACCGATGACCTAGCGAAAAAAAAAAGGAACAGCTTTGACGACGCATACATGATGGTGAACCAGACAAGCTCATTAACACCAGGCATACCTATATTTCTTTCAGTTCTAAATTTTGTTCTTTCCATCACCGCATTCGTGGGGAACACACTGATCCTGGTGGCTCTTTATAAAGTGCCTTCTATTCATCCACCGACAAAACTGCTATTTCGATGTCTTTCAGCCACTGATCTTTGCGTTGGCCTTTTTCTGCAACCATTGTTTGTTATCCGTATACTAAATAGTGCGACAAAGATAATTAGCCCTGGGAATTTTTTCTACATCATCGAAGCAAATTCATCTTCAAGTTTTATTTTGTGTGCAGTATCAGTCCTGACATCGACCGCTATAAGTTTAGACAGACTTCTCGCCCTTACGCTGGGCCTGCGATACAGAATCGTTGTAACGTTGAAGCGAGTTGCTGTACTAGTTACTTGTTTCTGGTTGATTGGTATTTTGTTGGGAATGATGCGCTCTTTTCGTGAGCTTACGAATTGCTTTAAATGGGGCTATAATCTGGGCAATATTATCGTTAGTAGCCTCAACCTTTTCCTACGTAAAGATATTTTCAAACTTCGGCAAC